AAATTGAGTCTCGTCACTTTGCTTTGAGCGATTAGAATGGTTAAGGTGCTGACAAACCAAAAGTCAGGGCTGGAGTTGGATTCGAACCCCGATCAAAACGCTACCATTCACAGCGAATTGCGCGCTGCATTAGAGGCGTATTTATTTGTTGCTTAGCGCTGGACTCGGCAATACTCAATCTATTGGACGGTTTATGGATTTGGACCAGACAATCCAGTGATTGATGTTATGAGCGACGTCCAGCACCACTGTGTTCGATGACACGCAATGAGCACCAATCCATACTTTCGGCTCGTATGACAAGCACAGACAACTTGAATCTTCATCCCCTTGATCCCATCGCGGGGTCACCCACTGACCTATATGCTGTACTTCACGTGTCTGGAGACACCAGCTCCTTCTGGCACAACATACTCCAGCAAACGCCCTTCTCAAGGAAAGTTTGATTTAAAAGACAGCTGAACAGTGCCCCTGACATGACACAACTTGTAGAACAAGAAATGCGTCCCTATCGTTCTGTAACTCGTGCATAGGAAAGTACTTAGCCCGCAGCACAACGCAAGGCTTCAACACTGATGGCGTTTTGTACAGTAGAGTGAATGAATGAGTGAGTGGGTGGGTGAAATTGTGGGTTAGTGGGTGGATTGGAGGGGGGGGGGGGAGGTTGAGTGAAGGGGTAGGTAGTTGGCAGAATAGTTAGTGGGTGGATTAGTGAGTGAGCGTTTCCTGTACAAGAGATACGACCCTACGAAACTAATGTAACTTCTCTCGAAAGTTCCTTCTGTAGACTTTGAAGTTTGCTTCAACATTAAATAAAGGATTAATTAATTTCACAATATCACTGATCTGGTAATGAGTGATTCGACAATTCAGTAGAGTGGCCTTGTGGTTAAGGTGTTCGCTCGTCACGCCAAAGGTCTTGGTTCCATTCAGCGCACGGACCTGTACGAGGGGATATCGTCTTGGCAATACTCAACACTTGACACAGTGACACGACTACACTGGCAGACGGTGATGTATTAGTCGCGAGCACAAATACACAGTTTTCCTAGCTGATCAGATATGGCCCACATACAGAGGTATACACAAGTGTCACCTTCAGATAAAGTACGCTTGGAGATAAAGTACTTGTCCCGAATACACTGTGAGTCAACTGCAAGGAAGAGTGGTCGCACCGAGAGGGTGGGGAAGGAGAGAGAGAGAGAGTGAAGAGAGAGAGGGGATACACTGTAGAGAGGGACACACACACACAGAGAGAGACAGACGGAGAGACAGGGGAGAGAGACACACGGGCCAGAGATACAGCGAGCAGGAGGACACAGAGAGAGTGAGGGGGAGCGAGAGAGAGACACACACAGCCACAGAGAGACATACGGAGCAAGGGGAAGACACACGGGCCAGAGATACAGCGCGAGGGACACAGAGAGGAGGGGGAGGAGAGATAGAGAGACACAGCCACAAGAGACATACGGAGAGACAGGGGAGAGACACACGGGCCAGAGATACAGCGAGCAGGGACACAGAGAGAGTGAGGGGGAGCGAGAGATAGAGAGGGACACACACAGCCACAGAGAGACAGACGGAGAGACAGGGAGAGACACACGGGCCAGAGATACAGCGAGCGAGGGACACAGAGAGAGAGAGTGAGGGGGAGCGAGAGATAGAGAGGGACACACACAGCCACAGAGAGACAGACGGAGAGACAGGGAGAGAGACACACGGGCCAGAGATACAGCGAGCGAGGGACACAGAGAGAGAGGGGGAGAGAGATAGAGAGAGGGACACACACAGCCACAGAGAGACAGACGGAGAGACAGGGAGAGAGACACACGGGCCAGAGATACAGCGAGCGAGGGACACAGAGAGAGTGAGGGGGGGGGGAGCGAGAGATAGAGAGGGACACACACAGCCACGGAGAGACAGGGAGACAGACACACGGGCCAGAGATACAGCGAGCGAGGGACACGGAGAGAGTAATAGCAATACAAGTCCTATACGTAACCTACACTTAAAGTTGATGTATTAACTCACTAACTCACTGTTAGATACAGACTGACCTAATGCGGAAGGCGAAGATATATATTGCAAAAACATAAATTGCACTCATTCATTAACTCCATCAGACATTCAGTCAACCAATCAACCAATCACGCACTCAAATACTGATTTCATCACTCACTCGTTCTGTTGTGACCAATCTGTATTAAATGTGAAGTCGTGTTTTACACAAGTAAGTAGGTTATCTGAGTCGTGTGAGACCCGTGCCACGTGTTGGGAAGGAAAAGTCGAAGGTATGTCAAACAATATCGAAATGCATGTCACTTGTAAGTAGGGGAAATTTTATCAGATAATGTAGGTACACTTTGAACCCATCACATGTATCAAGCATTATTGCTGTGTTTCGCGTATGGTTGAGGCTAGATCAAGCCCAACGGAATAAATACAACGAAGCATGATGCAGCATGTATTCTATAGTACATATACTACTTACAGTGAGTGAGTGAGTGAGTTTAGTTTTACGCCGCACTCAGCAATATTCCAGCTATATGGCGGCGGTCTGTAAATAATCAACAGCATGAGCATCGATCTGCGCAATTGGGAACCGATGACATGTGTCAACCAAGTCAGCGAGCCTGACCACCCGATCCCGTTAGTCGCCTTTTACGACAAGCATAGTCGCCTTTTGTGGCAAGCATGGGTTGCTGAAGACCTATTCTACCCCAGATCTTCACGGGTCTTTACTACTTACAAACCGAACTGAATAAAAAAAGATGACACATTATAGTCTGTTTAGCTATATCAGCACACACCGCACCATGTCTGCCATACAGACCCTGAAACAATCACATCGAAGAAAACCCATGCAAGTCTAGAATATGTGGCAAGTCTATAGAAAGCCACAGTTTCAGGAAAATGAAGAAAGTCTCAGGGCTCCTTTTCATTATATTATTTTTTTTTTATTATGAACGTTTCATCTGTAAAATCTGTTCATTTCAGTTGTTAATTTAACACCCCACCCCCAAACACACACACAGAGACACACATACTATTGTTTTAAAGCAAGCTAAATTTAATCTCCGATTGTGTCAGTAAATATATTTTTTCTAAATGGCTGTATCCGAGCGTGTAATGCGATAGACTATTGCCGAATAACAAGCTAATTAAGTGCAACCTTGAGGTATCTACTAGGCAGGAAACAAGCAAGTGGTCTATCGGCTTACTGTGGTCGTGTAAGCCTTTCCTCGAGACGCGTGTCAAAGTGACAGCCCCATAAAGAGCTTCCTTAGTTAGTGTTCTTATTTAAAGCACTCAGTGTACTGATCTGTCAGAAGCATCCTCTAAAGATGATGTCACCCTCGGGATCCAATGTATCCTTATACATATATACGTTTCCCCGGTGATCAGTAGTTGTTGCAGGTGTGTATTGGAATGGCTATATAATGATACCTGAGGATTGAGGACGGACGACCTTGTGATGTAATGGTGACGTGTAAAACAGGTCACCACAGACATATTCCGTTTTTCTTAAAGACGCGCTTCATGGGGGAAAATTTGCAATTCCTGCTAGGTTGACACATGCCTTAAACACACATGTATTTGCTGAGATATACATTATCACAATTTCATAAGAGTTACAATCACCACGTGGATGTTCATGACACTAAATTATGATAAAAATAATGATCAATTTCATGCTCATCTCTCTTAGAAGGTTACAAGCTAATTTGACTTATGAGGCGTTGGAAGTTATAGTCACTTTACCATCTTACCCTGTCGGGTACCCATTCACTGCTGGATGAAGAGGCATATTCTGACCACATGAAACACAATTGCAAGGACAATAAACTCTCAGGAGTCAAGCTGTAGAGCAACCTGACCAACCAATCAACGCTAACGACGATGTTCAACATCGACTGATTTGTGACTTATACCGTACCCAGAACCATGTACCATATTCTGTTTGTATCAACGTGACATATACTATCTCACACGTGTCATGGAAACGATGTCTATCAAGACTGGAAGTGGACACGTGACTCAGTACAGCAAGACCAGTTGATACAAGCAGATACATCATCATATGATTCCAATTAAAGAGACTCTAAACGCAGGTTAAAAGGCAGCCCAAGCATAAATGAATTATTCAAACGCCATGTTTGTCAGTGAACGCAATTTGTATCACGTTGGCAGAACACAAAACATATATACAATATATTTGAATCAGGTTACTTTCCGCGTATAGCATAGTTCACCTTTAACGCATATTGCACATGTCAGACAGCGCCACGACATTAGTGCAATAATCAATATCTGTATATTTCCTTACATCTTATATACCTCTATGTATAATTCAATAAATTCAAGAATAAAGGAATTCCTTTCTATTGGGACGCCAGCATATACATATCTCAACACTATTAATGTCACAACGGCAATTATCGTTTTTTCTTTCTCCGTTAGTTTGAGTGACATTATAGGCTTTACAGTACGTTTAAATACACAAGAACTGTCTCAGTGTCAGTCTGTGACAGGCCAGGAACTACCTGATGGGTTATTCCTGGCAAGACCATTATTAATTTTCATGTTGAATGGGTGTGGTTAGTTTGACTCAGTTGTATTATGATTTATGCAAATATATTCATATATTCCCGTTCCGTATGCTATGACTAAGAACAATGAAGGTATTCTTCTTTGATATATATTAGATTGGCAGATAATTCATACCTAAATGTGAGCTTATTCCATTTTATTAAATCGCTGTTTATTCACCATAGGATAAAATATTTGCACTAAAATCAACCTTCCAGCTGGAATCACAGAATCTGAGCTCGGTAAAATCAACTGACGAAGCATAATCACACAAATGGCATGATCTGTCAAAACAACAGGTACATGATTTAGAAACATTACAAACTTAACAAACATATTAATGCATGGTAATATAAATGCTAACATACACAGATAATTTCAAGTAACGAACAAACTAAAATTGTACTTACCAAGATTTGAACCAAAATCACAAAGCACGTAGTCCAAGCTTTATATTCCATGTTGAAAACGGCACAGGAGTCTCACATTAAATATTCCACCGATCCGTACTCCCCACACCGACAGAAACCCGTGGTAGCCCACACTAGCGCTCCGCTCCCTGCAAGTGGCTGTTAGTCCCAGTTTCCCTGAGGCCCCGATCTCCGTGTTCAACACACGTCACGCAAACACACACACATGCTGCTGCGACTTCTGTACGCTTGTTCTGTTTTACAATAACTTAAACACTTGTCCACCATTGGTTTGCCTCTCTCGTTAGTCCAGCTGTGGTTTTGTCAAACTTGTAAACATTAACATTAATTAGAATTGTTTTTACATAGGTGGGCTACTTCTTAACCCGTCTGTTATTGTTAATGTGTTGGGCATGTGTCCGATCTTCTAATCTCATGAACGCTCTTGTGATTGTCGGTGATGTGAAGTTGGTTAGGCTTAGATAACAAGGGCGTATTTCATTCAGTGTATAAAAGGCAAACTGTATGGAGGCTGATTATTATAAAAGTTAAATGAGGGTCAAACATGAATGTTGTTTTTTACAAAATATTACAATTGTCAAATTATGATATTAAAAATTTGAAATTATATTAATTCATTTTTATAATCTGAATTGAAACCACAGTGGAATTAGAGTGGATACAGTTGCGGTGCTCATTATGTCAGTCATTAGTAGTGTTGGCCAAGACGGACGGACCAATCATGTACCACCGCTATTTAGTCAGATTATTCTTTGAGGCACAACATAGTACATTCTGAATATGAGAATTATACTTTCTGGGTTGGTTTTGGTGTTTAACGCCGCCACACTCAGCGATAGTCCAGCTGTATGGAGGTTATATACATTCTGGGAGAGATGGCAAAATGGGTATGCTATACTGATGTATGAATACTGACACTGACAAATCGGTGAACTTTAAGAAAACACTAAGTTGTGGACTCATATATACTCTCCCAAAAAAGAAACGCACCATGACAATAACAATTTCATGTAGCAATGAATTAAATCAAGATTCATTTTACAAAAGGTTTTGCTCTGTTTATGAGTCCTGTGGTGTTTATGTTTTGAAACATCACAACAAAACGCACCATCCGTAAAATACCCGTATTTAACAGCATGCCTTTCAATTGCGGAGTGTAGTGTCACAGAATACACAATTCACATGCAATGCACGTGAAAGTTGGGGATCAGATAGTCTCAATGATGGCTATAAAAGGTTGATCGCTGTCTGTCGATTATTCACTGTATTTGGAATATTGTTGACGAACGCAAAATGCCACGTCTAAGTGAAGCCAACCGTCATATCGCCATTGGTTTGCTTGAAGCTGGCCAGTCTCAACGTGCAGTTGCCCGACGCATGAATGTTCACCAAAGCACCATTTCACGCCTCTGGGAGAGATATCGCCGGCAGAATGCAGTAGCAGATGACCCTCGTAGTGGGCGACCAGTACCGTTCGACAAATACCCGGATTGAGGAGGCTTTCTGCACAGACCGTCAGGAACAGGTTGAGAGAGGCTGGTTTACGTCCCAGAAGACCTTATTTTGGCCCTGTGCTTCGACAACAACATCGTCGACATCAAGTTCAATGGTGCACCAACGTTCAGGCCTGGAACCTACCGAATTGGCGTAGAATCTGGTTCAGTGATGAATCACGATTTCTATTGGAACGACGCGATGCAAGAATGCGGGTGTACAGACCTCGACGTGAACGTTTCGCCGACGCTTGCGTTCCCCAGGTGGGCAGATTCGGCAGGGGCAGTTTTATGATGTGGGGAGCGATCACCTGCCGCAGGAGGTGCTGTGCTGTGACGAAATCCTACGCCCACACCTCCTTCCAATCATTGATCGCCAGAGCGAGTTGTTTCAACAGGGCAATGCCAGGCCCAACACAGCACGTCACACTAGAGACTTCCTCCAGAACCACAACATCAATGTGCTCTCCTGGCCCTCAAGATCACCGGACTTAAATCCGATCGAACATCTGTGGGATCGCCTGGACAGACGGGTGCGACGCCGTAACCCTCAGCCCCAGACACCTCAGCAACTCGCACAGGCACTACATGCAGAATGGGCTGCGATTAGGCAACATGAGATTCTGAGACTTATTCGTTCGATGCCGAGGCGATGCCGTGCAGTTCTGGATGCCCACGGTGGTCACACGAGGTATTGACTTCAGCGCCACCACACGTCTCCATGTGACACTCAAACTGACTTTCCTCGAGTTGGTGGCAAAGACGGATAAGTCTGCATTCCCAGTGTGCAATTTCGCTATATTTCATTGACTCATTAAGCCTACAAGATGTTTCAAAATATACATATAAATACAGTTGAAATTGCTATATGCGTTTCTTTTTTGGGAGAGTATATATTCATATTTCAACTATTTTTCTTTAGACGTCCGATTATTAATAACCACATTTCATGTAAGGTTAACATTAAATTGCATAGGCGGATCCAGAGGGGCGGGGCTACACCCCCAAATTACCATTGAAACCTCGTGAAATTGAAGTGTGCACCCTCCCTTTCTCAATAGTGTGCACCCCCCTTTCTCAAAAAGCTGTATCCGCCCTTGAATTTATATTCATAACATTAAACTTGGCTGACAACAACTGAACTTGATTATACCACTCCATCAACTCATGTAGGTATTCCATGTTTACTCACTGTCAGTCGACACTGAATACTTCGTAAAACTATGTATTATATATAACATAAAGAATACATTTTACCCTATATCAGATGCAGCATGTTTAAAGGAACTAGTGAGTTTTGCTGTGTTCCCGAGGCGGATTCATCCTGTTAAAGAGTGAGAGAGTATGGTTTTACACCGCTTTTAGCAATATTCCAGCAATATCACGACGGAGGAACTTGTTTAAAACAAGCAGTGTGATAGTCATTATCAAAATCGACGACATCTGCCTCCGACATTTCGACGTTGGAATCATTGAAGATCTTCGACATTAATCGGTGAAGATTACTGATACGTTGCTTATTGCACCACAGCGTTTAGTGAGTGAGTGAGTGAGTGAGTGAGTGAGTGATCGAGTTTGGAATGATGCCGATTCTGATGGTATTTCAGTTATATCACGGCTTGTCAGCTTCAGGGAGGTAGCAATGATACTGGTGTATCACGTAGGTTGAACCGATCGGTACGTTGGAGGTAGCCAAGTGGTTAAGGCGTTCGCTCGTCACGCGGTTTAATGAGATATTATAGTGGGTAAAGGGGGGCCTATTGGTTGAAGCATTAGCTCGCCACGCCGAAGAACCGGGTCTTCACGTTAAAGAGCAGGCTCAACTTCCCTTTCCCGAAGTCCGCGCAATGTGCAACCACTACATGTGTTACAGACTCAGGGGGTGGTGGGGTATCCTAACGGTTAAAGCGTCCCCTCGTCGCGCCGAAATCCCGGGTTCGACTCCCCACATGGGAACAATGTGTGAAGCCCATTTCTGGTGTCCCCCGCCGTGATATAGCTGGAATATTGCTGAAAGCGGCGTAAAACCCAAGTCACTCACTCATTTAGGTTGAACCCACGGAACACATGCACAATAACAAGAACGCCAACAAAAACAAAATCGGAAGAATATTGCATTCGAACAGAGAATCATCGTGTTCTTGCTTGCCTAAGGTACGCAACTCGCCTCATCAGACATCCTCCCTTTACACAACAGGGACTTCAAGCCGAGCTATCCAGATATGAACGAGACAGGGCGAGGCGTATATTCTCCTCACAGGACTCCTTTAAGCCCGAAGGATATATAACAACCGCAACGACTTTTTGTCCTGTGTATTTACATATATTAGTTAAAGATGCGGAAACGTCACAGCATCAGCTGAGTGGTGATGAGAGTCGGTGACATTGAGCCGAACATATCCTCCCCACGTCAGTCCCCCATACGCTCTGGGGCTAAATACAAGCATCCTTGCGGATCTTCTTGTTTCTTGACAATTGTAGTTATGGTGCTTGTTGGGGCGACGCTGACATTATTCTACAGGGATATCGGCATCCCACTGTCTGTGACTAACAGGCAGGAAGTGCAGTTACAATGTCACTTTGCCTGGATATAAACACGTACACATAAGATGATAAAAAATTATGGATGATAACCGTCTTTATATTCACAATAGCCACGTTTCGGTATAGCTTCTTATACCGTTTTCAAGCATAGTTTCCTGTCTATCAGGTGTCTGAGTGTAAGTATTATGAGTGAGTTTTGTTTGACGCCGCAGAGAACAATATCTCAGTTATCTCACTGCTGTGTCAGCTTGATGTCGGTGGGAAAGATCGCAGTCACTGGCTGTCGGAATGATTCTGGATCTGAACCCATCATCGTAGTTTCCTGGGACACCTAAGGGACATAACTCTACACAGTAGGTTCGGGCGCAATAGATGACTTGAGAACCTGTGTCGCTCCTTTATAAGGAAGAACATAGCATTTCGGTGGAATTTTCAAATCTTTCTGCGATCACTGTACACTGCTGGGTCTATTGTGTATCAAATCGAAAATTTCTTGACAAGCGTGCGTAAAAGTTACAATGTAACTCTTTATCTAAAGCGTATGGCTTAGGCTTGATGTTCATATCACAAACAGCTCACTATATTAAAATCCAGAGGGAATTCTAGCTTAGAGCAAGTCCCCAGCACCTTAAGCTGTTCGAATGAGGCGACTTGTGGACAGGGATCCGTCACTTTGTTAAATAAACGTCACCGTGCCCCCCACGTATATTCAATCAGGACCTGGTTTGTCTCGTCCCGACTTGATCATGTACAGGCCGCGGCTTCACACAGCGCTAATACTGATGACTAACTGCACCGTTAAACAACAAACGGGGCGACAGTGTAGCCTAGTGGCTAAAGCGTTCGATCGTCACGCCGAGGACACGGGTTCGATTCCCTACATGGGTACAATGTGTGAAGCCCATTTCTGGTGTCCCCCGCCGGGTTATCCGGCGTAATAATGTGCTGTGTGGAGTTTGGCGCTGTATAAATGGACACATTATTATTATTGTCTATAATCCCGGTTTGTTGCTAAAACCTAAACTCACTCAATGCATTTATTGTGAATATATTGGCACATATATCATATATTCTTTCTTGAGTTCAAATCTAAGCCACAACCGAATACGTCCCTGTGGTTTGACCAAGTCATATTTGACAGGCATCCTACTAACAGCAAACAAATGCACCCAGTTCCGAACTGTGTCACTCTGGTCCGATAAGAGCAATGATAAACTGGGCTATTTATCTATTTTAGGCTAAAAAAATCAATGAACCTGTTTTCGTTATCTACTCTCCAGGTATAATGGTTAGTTCATTTGTTCCCATGTGTGTAAGCACATTCACATATTAATGAGCATAACCCTTTTACACACCATAGTAGAGCAAGATCG